GTGGTCAGCCAAGGGTATTGGTGGTCTCCACACTGAAAGCAAGCCAATGGTGGGGTAGGAAACCAGTAAATGTGGCCCAAAGATCAAGAAAACCAGTTTCCTGACAAGAAAACCGGCTGGTGGGGAAAAGTGGTCTCCAAGGAGAAAAGGTGGTCTCCCACCCTTGTACCACCTCCCAAACAAAGAAAACAAGGTTCATGCCAAAAATGAACCAACACGGATGCAAAACGATAGTTCAGAAGGCAAAGCATGTAGCGGGGGGCCTCGAAAACTGGCTATTGAGCACAGAAAGTGGCGTACGACCACAAAAGTGGTCTCTCAGACCACAGTGTCCCTTTAGATAGAGGAAACAAGGTGTGTTCCAAAAACCGTGCCAAACGGAGAATGTTAAGCGGTCCCAAGCCGAGGTGCACGGCCGACGGCTCCGAAAACCGAAAACTAATCTCCAAACGGGAACAGTGGCCTACGACCACGAAAAGTAGTCTACGACCACTGAGAGATGGTCTACAAGACCTCTTCCTCCCTCTGGGAAGAGAAAACAAGACTTTATCCGCAGACCAAGTCAAAGTACAAAGAGTCCCGAGGTCCGGAGGTGAGGCTCTCAGCCAAGAACCCCGAAACCTCGAAACGAGCACAACATGCACAATCACCGAGTGCTCAATCGATGATGTCCGAGTCTTAAGGTCGGTCAAAAATGGGGTGTCTACAACTGTATGCTAGGAAACTGCTAAGTACAAAAGAACTCTTCTCCTGGTACTAGGGTTACTAACAACGGAGGAGAGGTCATGTAGTCTTTCAAGCTTTCCAGGGCACGGTCGCACTCATCATCCCATTCAAACTTGGTCTTCAATGCCTAGAAGAATGGTCAACACCTGTCTAACGATCGACTTATGAACCGGTTGAACGCAGCTGCTAGGCCAGTGAGATACTTCACCTCTTTGACCGTTTTGGGCCTCTCGAGATCTTGGATGGCTTTGATCTGAGAGGGATCAGCTTCTATACTCTAGTTGGTCACTAGAAAGCCCAAGAATTTTCCTGACCCTACATCGAGTGCGCACTTAGATGCGTTCAAACGCAACTTATGGGACTTCAAAATTTGAAACATTTCATCTAGGTCCCTGAGATGGTCCTTCTCATCTCTACTTTTGACCACCATGTCATCTATGTAAGCCTCTATTGTTCTGCCCTAACATTGGTTCAAATATTTTGGTGATCATCCGTTGGAATGTAGCCCCTGCATTCTTTAGGCCAAAAGGCATGACCTTGTAGCAGTATAATCCTCTGGGTGTTGTAAATGATGTGACCTCCTGATCCGATTCATACATAGCGATCTGATGATAACCGCGATATGCATCAAGAAAGCTAAGTCGGTTATGCCTTGCTGTTAGGTTCACCAGTTGGTCTATTTGTGGTAGGGGGAAGCTGTCCTTTGGGCATGTTTTGTTGACTGTTTTGTAGTTCATGTAAACGCGTCATTTGCCGTTCTTTTTTGGTACCACTACAGTGTTGGAAATCCACCTGGGATAGTGTACTTCTCTGATTGCTCCTACCTCCAGCAAGTTTCCCACTTCCTCCGCCACTATCTCTACGTGGTGGAGTGTTGATCGGCGAGTTCGCTATATAACTGGCCTGGCAGTTGGATGGACATTAAGTTGATGGAAAATGAAATTAGGGTTAATGCCAGGCATGTCATACGGCGTCCAGGCGAACACTTCGATGTTTGAGGTCAAAAATTCCATGATCTCTATTCTCTCAGCGCTAGACAAAGACGAGCCAAGCAAAAATAACTTTTCTGGGTTCTTTTCATCTATTCTTACCTCTACCAAGTCTTTTACTGCCTTCTGTTCGGCTGCTTTGCCAACATCTGCAAATAGCTTGTTGCTTTCTGGCTCTTCTACCATTTGTACAAACCCATTTGCAGCCCGGCTACCATTTACTGTGACGAAGCACTATTTCGACATGATTTGGTCCCCTAAGACTTCTTCAATCACCCCAGTTTTGTTGGAGAGCCGTAACACCTGATGGTAGGTTGATGCCACTGATTGCATGGCGTGCAACCATGCTCTTCCCAAGATTAAGTTGTAAGTAAAAGGGTCTTTCAATACCCAAAATTCCACTTGTTTCGTCATCGTTCCTACCTTGACCGGCAGAATTATCTTGCCCACCAGCCATTCTGGCATTGAGTTAAAGCCAACTAAGGGAGATGTTGCGGGTGCCAAGTCTCTGTCCTCCAATTTTAGTTTCTTGAAGGTCTCGTAGTACATTATCTCGAAGGAGCTCCCTTCGTAACTAAGGATCCGCTTCAATGCGAAGTTCTTGACACGTAAAGTAACCACCAGTGCGTCATTGTGAGGGCATTGTAACCTCGCTAAGTCCTTGTCAGGAAAAGGAGATGGCGTTTATTGCCTCTGTTTTTCCCCTTTTGACGGTAGGTTGTGCACATAGTACCTCTCTTATGTGCTCAGCCTTTTTGATCATCCCTCTGAGTTCACATACCCGTTCAGGTTTGACGATCTCATGTATTACATTGATTACGCCTTGGGGCAGACCGTCGACCGGCATCCCATCTGGCCTATTGCGGTCCTGGGGGGCTGGCTGTGTTCCTCCTTTAATATATTGGTCCAGATGGCATGCGGCCACTAGCTCCTCCTGATGTTGCCTTAATGGCGTACAGTTTTCAGTTCAGTGCCCCTTTTCATCATGGAAAGTGCAATGGTACCTCTCATCGTAGCCCCTCTGCGTTTCTCCCAACTTGGCTAGCCACCGAACGAAGGGTTCATCGCGTATCTCGCTAAGAATCCGGTAGATAGGTTTATTGAATACTGTGGTGATGGCAGTCCAGACTCTCAACTTCCTTGATTGGGGGTCCTCCCTGTTGGCTCGTCTGCCACGCCCATTTTTGCTTGGTTGTTCAACCGTGTTGACTTTTGCTGTAGTCTTTTTATCCGGCATCGTTGTTGTGCCAAATTTTGCTTTAGCACAAGCGCTATCTTCTTCTACCTGGATGTGCTAATATACTCTCTCCATTAGGGCCTCCATCGTGAGGGGTGGCATCATCTCCATCGTGAGGGGTGGTATCATCGTCATTGAATCCCTCAACTTGTTACTTACTGGTAAACCCCGTTTATACTGTGCGATGGTGAGGTTTGTGGAACAATCCCCAATCTAATTGAAAGTCTCCCAATATCGATTATTGTAAGACTTTAACGTTTCCTTCTCGCCCATGTCAATGGAGAGTAGCTGGTCAATCTCCACTGGTGTCTTGGTGTTTGTTCTGAATCTGGTCACAAATGCCTCTGCCAACTGCACCTATGAAGCTATGCTACCTTCTGGTAACCTTTCAAACCATGTTAGGCCCAGGTCACCAAGGATGGAAGGAAACAAGATACACATTAGGGCCTCGTTTTGTCGATACACGGCCATAACCTGGCGAAAGTGGGTTAAGTGCATGTAAGGGTCTGACTTCCCCTCATAAGTAGTGAATTTGGACTGGTGCAAGCCTCAGGGTAGCGGTGCGTTCTTAATTACCGGAATGAACGGTGAGCTCTGCAACGTTGCTAAAACTTTATCTACTAGTTCATAAGCAAGGCGCAGTATTGGCATCCCTACCTCGACACTCCCATGTGTCCTAGGAGCCAATCGTTGTAGAGTTGAAACTCTACGAGAGTCGCGAGCCTGGGTGTCCTCCTTCCATTAGGCCCTTTCCTCTAGCATTGTTCGCAGGTCTGTCGACCTAGGCAACTCCATGTGCCTAAATGTCGTTTGGTGCGTGTGCGAGGGCCGATAACTGCTTCCCTCCGTATACGACCTCTCAGTCCTCATTCTCTCAGACCTGGAGTAACGAGTCCTAGAGGTTCGTGATTGTGTATCGCCTGTCCTTAGGCTTCTGCTTTCCGTCTGAAATTGTGTGACTTGCCTGTCACGATCTTCTAAGTGGCGAGGGTGTGCCCTGCTCTTGCCCACCTCTTCTTCCGCCGCTCCTTTGCCCTTTATCTGGCGCTTCATAGTCTCCATGTCTGCCGCCATCCTCCTTATCAATTTGTCTTGCTCGCTCACACGATTCTCCAGAACCTAAGGATCTAACCTTCGCCGCTGCCTTTCAAGACTTTGGGAGCGACAAGGAATGGAGCCCCGTCTCTCCCATGTATCCCTCCGAGGGTTCCATCGCTGGGTGTCTAACTCTGCCATAGGTGGGATAAAAGGTAAGCCTTCGCGTCTCCCGCTCCCCTCCGGGGTTCGCCCATCAATAGCAGATTGCGGCAAATCTTCATTGTGCGCCATTGAAATCAGTTTGAAGGAAAACTTAATCAAGAGGTTTGTTCTTTGTGATTGTACTTCCTACAAACAGTGCCAATTGTACGAGCACAAAATAATTTTCTCGTATAATCCTGTTGATCAAGTTTGCACTCCTCCAAACGTCGTCGCTTTACTACATGAAAACACAAACGTAAGCTAGCCGATGGGTGTGTGCCGGAAACCTCTCCGATGCCTAAGTCAGCAAATAGATAATAGATAAAAAAGCTCTGTGTATTCTAGAGTAAAAATTGTGATACCTCTACATAAGTTCTGTCATGAGCTTTTATTGATTCCAACTGCCACAATCCTAATAGGACTCTAATTCTCCAATGTAGAGTCCTCTTAGGAATCACATTCCTAAAAGATAATGCCCATCTTTTAACACCCTCTTCACTGCAAGCCAAGTGAGATGGCACAAGTCCCTTTACCTAGGTTCGGCAACAGCTCAACTAAGCTAGGAAGGCCTTGCCTCACACCAGATAGAACTAGAGCAATCCTTGATCGAGATAGCCACTTCGGGAAGCCTGCACCATCGCACCCCGGTCCTGTTTTGATATAACCACCTTGGTTCAAGCCTTGGGTCAAATACCCACCCAGTCCACGACCAAGCTCAATCCACTCTTATTTTCGCTTGCAGCACGGCCTAATGGCCAAGACTTAACCTAGCTCGGTCCATGCAATGGATGGCCTTAGCTCGGCCTTATTTAGACATAAATTTCCCTCTCAATTACTTTTCCTATTGCAAGTTCAGTTTTTCTACTCCAAGGCAATAGAAAAGATTTTGTACCTGGAGCAACATAGCCGATGGTTCCCCTTATTGCATTTGAATTGGTTTGACCTTGAGCCACATCACTTGAAATGGTAGAAATAATTTTTGCTAACCCGAAATCTCCAATATGAGCTGTCATCCCATCATCCAAAAGAACATTACTTGGTTTCAAATCACCATGAATAATTGTCGACTCACAACCACAATGAAAGCACTCAAGTGCAGAAGCGACATCAACCGAAATGTCCAGCCTCTTGAGTAGTTTAAAATTTCTGGGTTCTTCTAGCTGTCTGTGGTCTCCCACTCCAACTTGATGTAGGCATTTGCATAAGTTTCCATTGGCCATAAATTCATACACCAAAGCTTTGAATTCATTACCATGGAAATCCACACTAGAACAAACACTTAAAATTTTTAATAGATTTCGGTGCTTTATGGCTCTTAGTGCTTTGCATTCTATCATGAAGCTCCTAGAGGCTCCTCCAGTCTGAAGATTGAGCACTTTCACTGCCACAACCATCTGATATTGATCAAGAATCCCTTTGTAAACTGAAGCATGGCTCCCAATACCAATTGGATTAGCCTTTGAGAATCCATTGGTGGCTTTGAGAAGATTTGCATAAGAAACCCCCAAAAATTGATGCATGATTGATGGCGTGGAAGAAGCCACCTTTTTTGAAACATGATACAGTTGAAGAAATATAAAGAAGCTAACTAACAAAGATAAAAATATCACAACACCAACCACCACTAGGATCACTTTTGTCCTATGAGAGAGCTTATTCTTGCTTGAGTAGGAGGATGAACAAGGAGGAAGGTCTAATTTTGCAATACCTCCACATAGATCATTATTTCCAACAATTGAAATTGCACCTGAATTTCCAAACACTCCTTGTATGGGAACTTGTCCGTGTAGTTTATTAAAAGACAAATTCAACATATCTAGTTGAAACTCACCTAGATAACTTGGGATCAGCCCCGACAAATTGTTGTGCGAAAGATCCAATACTCTTAAGCCCCTCATCAATCTCAAGCTTTGAGGTATCTCTCCCTCAAATGAATTAGCCTCCAAGTGAAGCCATTCCAGACTAAAATAATTGCTTAGAGTGTTTGGTATGGGTCCTGATAATTTATTATAAGACACATTCATGTTTGCAAAATTTTTCAAATACCCAACTTCTGATAGTAGGGAACCAGTTAGTGCATTGTGACCTAACCAGCGGAATTTTGAAATGGACGAGAGACTCATAATTTCAGGGGGTATTGAACCATTGAGATTATTGTTGTAAAGGTGTAATTCCAACAAGTTATGACAATTGCCCAAACTCGGAGGTATGCTTCCATGGATGTCGTTTTCTCCCAAGTTGAGAGTAATCAACGAAGTCAAATTACCAATCGAAGATGGAAGTTCTGTGAACTTGTTCTGCTCTAAGAACAGAGTACACAGCTTATGAAGTCTGTCGATGGATGATGGAATAGGGCCGACAAGATTGTTCACTGCCATAGATAACTGAGGTTGAGGAGGTTCCCAATGCCTGAAGGAATGCTTCCATGTATTTGATTAAACCTCAAATCTATCTAGCTAAGATATGTGGAGAGATTAGCTATGGAGTCAGGCAATGAACCTCTAAAAAGATTGTTACCCGCATCAATCAATTGTAAACTCACTACAGGAAATATATGATTTTACGACGTTTATTTAACGGCGTTTTTTTAAACGTCACTATTTCTTACATCTAACGACGTTTTATAAACGTCACATTTTATTTTAATTAAAACGGTACCGTTTAAGTAATCCAAGTCGTTTGAAAAGCGCCTTCAAATGTGTTTCTCTCTCTCTCTCTCTTCAAACCCTCAAATCTCTCACCAACGTATTTGAATCTGAGAAACCCTAGAGTCGCCAGGAAAGCGATCCCTCAAATATCTCACTCGCTCGCTCTCTCTCTCTCTCTCTCTTTCTCTCTCTAAACCCTTCAGCTCCTTTAACTCAATTCAACTTTCTTCACTCGGTGATTCATCATTCGGTCGATCCAATCTCAGAATGATTTTGATTTCGAAGCTCCACCGCCACCGCCGCCGCCACCGCCACCGCCATCTACATCTGCATCGTCTACTAACCATCTGCACGATTTTGATTTCAATCCAATCTCAGTTTCTTCGATTCTTCTCTCTCTCTCTCTCTCGATCTCTGCGTCTCTCTGTCTCATTCTTTTTCGATCTCTCAATCTCTCTCTCGATCTCGTTTTCTCTCGCACAATCTCGTTTCTGCGTACACATTATCTGTACTTTTTTTTGGATAATTTTTTTCTCCTAAAAATCTCTCTATACAAGTATATATATGAATTTTTATAAGTATCTCTATGTATTAATTGAATAATCATCCTTATTTTGTTTTCAGGCTCTCGAATGATCCAATCGTTGATCGGCAGTGACGGAAAAGATTAACTCCTGTGAGAAAAGAAACCCTAACTTTCTCATTGGAGGTAAGTTCTAATATATTTGTTTACATGTTTGTTCTGCTTTTGATCTTGTTTAGATTTGTATTGAACAACTCTGTTTAGATTTGTTTACTCAATATGCTGATGAGAATCTACTTGAATTTGGTTTCTCTTATTTTTCTGGAGCTATATTCTTTTGTTTATAATGCTTCTAAATATGAGGATACATTCACCATTATGTCAATTTCTATGTATCAAAATATATTTTGGTTTATTTAGATGATAAACATTAATTGGAGAACTTAGTAGTGATTAGCAGTCTGTCTATTGGTTAATTTGGGTATTGACTTAAATTTGATTTTTTTTTTTCCATTTATCTTTCGTTATATTTAGAAATTGGAACTAAAAATAATTTAGAAATTGGAAGGAAATAAGCAAAACAAAACAAAAAAACAGAACTTATCCACAAACACACACAAAAAAAAAAAGGAAAAAAAGAAAAAAAAAACTGACAGATGTAGGAACTTGTTTAATAGGGCTTGTTATTCTTCTCTGTAGCATTTCATTTATGAAGTTTGATTTCAAAATTGTATGTTTTGTGCATAGTAGCCAGTAGTAACTACTTGACGTCATATATGGCCAATAATTCTATTGGTACAAATTCTTAAGAAACCTAAGGTTTAGGCCGCATTCCCCCCAACAAAGAGTCTCAAGTTTGAATCTCCTTAAGACGAAAACAGCTATATTCTCTTTCAATTATCATATTCTGATATTATAATCTACTTCTCCCAGACCCCCATCTAACAGAGACTAACTGGGCATACTTTTTTATATTATATTTCAACCAAAATAGCCAGTAGTCAACAGAAATTGCATTATAATTGGGAAATTCTCAATAATAAATTAACAATGCTAAAGAAAGAAGGATAATGTAAAATGCTAAGCTAGTAATCAGGGGCCAAAATTTCTTATTAATGTTTATGCCTGACATCTCAATGTCAAGGCATGTATTGCATGCTTTGACTGCCCTCCTCTGAAGCTGTGAGAATTAGAAATAAGTGTCTACAGTTGAACCTCGCCTCAAGAGCAGACTCATGTGATGAAACAATGCCCCAAAAGAGTCACTACCAAAATGCCGCATTTATAAGCTCATTTATTATCAAGACATATGGCTCACTTGTAATTTGATAGTTGCACTGAAATTATAGTTTGTCTAGTGAACTAGAGAACTCCAATGGTCTACAATGGAAGATGATGAAGCTGTAATATACGTATGTATATTGTACCTACCCACTCTACGACTTCATGTTAATGGACTAAAACATGATATCCTCTCTTACATACAGAGCTAAAATATTTGATCATCATTTTTTCTTCGGATCTAATTCGAAAATACGGAGAGAAAAAAAATAGTGCTTGCATATATTATAATTATTGTATATAATATATATACGTTATAAAAAAATAATTGTAGTATTGTTTAGTGTCTTGATACAAAAAACAGACAAGCAACAACTGCAGAGGTTTTCCAATGCATGCAAAGGAATTCCACAAGTACAAAAAACATTTGGAGTGAATGTTGCTGTTTCATGTTGTGCATAGAGCATTGACAAATTGATGCATAGTAATCACAGAGAAAATTATGTTGGCGTAAAGTACTAAGAAAGTTTTTTTAAAAATAAAAATAAACCATAACGGCATAAATGAATTCTTGCACACACACACACACACACAAAAAGTGAGTCCGAAGTTGTCGGATCCAAATAATGTATACGCAGTTTAAGTTCACTGTCTACTGACTTGTGCCCTGGCTGTGATAACTATAAATTTACAGTGCTTTGGTTTTTTTCTGAAGTTTCAATTCCCTTCAAAGTCTTTTTTACTTTTCTTTATTTTTTTACTAGAGAATATTGAGTTTGACTTTTCAGTTTTGCCATGTACATCAGAAAACCTGCCAATTATGAATTTGATTAACCATTTGATTGTCATGAGATACTTATTACTTGCTCATCCAAAATAAAAATAAAAATGAAATACTTATTTTCATTATTTTCAGTCAGCTATATTCATTATTTTCAAAGATTATCGCAATTCCTTTTTAACATGCAGAAGTATGAGGGTTATCCATCTGGTTCAATGGTTGACTTCGCTTGTGATGCCTATGGATCTCCAATATTAGCAATCAGCAGCTTGGCAGTTCATACCAAGGTTGGCAAAATTTTGAATTTTGTTATCATATGTGTACTAATTGGATAATATATATATATATATATATAGATATATATATTTAAGAACACATAAAAAGATTAGAGAATCAAATATATGATTAAGAGGTCGATAATTAATTATTAATTAATTAGAATTTGCTTCAAACATGTTGGAACATGTTCAACTAACTTAAAGCAACATTTTCAAGCAAATCTTTGTCAACAAATAAGCCTGTATGTAATTACATATATGTGTTTGGATAACATAAATGTAGATAATATTTGAAACTCTACTTTGAAAATAGAGTGTTTCAAAAAAATTACATATATGCAATTATATTTTTCAAGTAAACAAACAAAAAATAGATTATATTCAATAAATTTAAGATTCAAACATAGCATTAGTGCTTTATTTTAAGAATTAAAAATTATCTTCCACTGGAATATTTTTGCAATGAGAAAATTTTCAATTATTTGTGTGACAATTCTTCTTTATTTTTTTTGGTGAAAATCTCTAATAATTTCTCACTACATAACATTCTTATGCACCTTTTTTTAAAGCAAAATTGCAAAATTAGAGGGAAACAATCCTACTTGTTACTATCTTCATCAATAATTTTCATTATAGCCATTTCGCTCCAAATCCTAAATTCACCTCGTCCAAGTCAATGTAGCCTTTAGTTTGTCTCTACTTTCTTTGTACAAATTAATTCAATAAGGCCCCCCATTTGGACATGTGTGATTGGATTACAAATTCAGTGACCCCACATTTCTTTTCTTTTCTTTTCTGTTTAATCCAGTTTACACAGTTTACATTACATCTAAGAAAAGAAGAAAGGGAATCAGCCCTAACGCTCCACATAAGGTTTGAACTTACAAACTTTACTTTATAAAGTTAAAGAGGCTACCGCTGTGACATAAGGCCATGAGTGTACTTTAGATTTAACAGAAAGTTAAGATATCACATTGATTAAATTGCAAATTTCAATTAATTAGATTAGCTCAATTGATTGTTTTTGTACACTTTTATGCAGGAGACCTCGAGGTCAATTATTGTGTTTGACAAAGATTTTATTATTATTTTTTCTCATTGTAAATATTATATTGAGTTGTTTGTTCTTCTCATTGTGAGCTTTCTTATGACCCGTTTGTTGAAAAAAATAGTTTTATAGTAACTTTAATGTGAAATTAAAGTAGGTCTCAATCATTGATTGAAGTAAGATTAAATGAGTTTAGATTTTTTATAACAAAATTTTTACACTACAAAAAGAATGACAAAAAATCATTAAAAATTGAATGAGAAACTGTCTCACAAAGTTAGTCTCGTGAATGAGGTATTAAAAATTGTGTATAACTACCAATCTCATATTGATTATAGAGGAAAAATTTGATGGGTATTTAAACCTCAAGATTTTGATGAGGGCATGAGCCTTTTGGGGCATCTAAATTTTTCGAAGGAAGGAAGTTATGAATGTTTCAATGATGGACTTAGGCCAAAACTATGGTCTAAGTTAGTTATGCAAAAATTGCCATGCGCCCGCCCAAAACGGGCTGGGTCCGTGGGTCGTGAGCTTGAGTTTAGGTTTGAGCTAGGCCGAATTGGTGATAATTCAAGGATGGGTTTTAGCCAAAACTATAGTCCAAGTTGGTTATGCAAAAATTGCCACGCACCACCTGCCCGGACGGGGTTGGGCCGTGGGCTTAGGCTTAGGTTTGGGTTGGACCGGATTGGTGGTCTACCAATCTAATCTTTTTGGGCCAAGTCTGTTAAGTGGCTGCAAATATGTATATACACATAATTTTTTGGCTTCTAAATTATACAGTCAGTTTGCTCCAATAATTTTCTTCCTGTATCAGAG